ACAAAAAGACCAAGACCAAATAAATGAAGTTATTATATACCAAAAGGAAAAAACAAATTAAATTCCTTTAAAAGGTATATAATGTGATAAATATTTTTTAGATTAATATTAGTGAAAATTAGCGCAAACTCTTATAAAACTATAGTTGTAATTCCCATGCAAATAAAAGGACTAAAAATCTCTCATGTCTCTATTTCTTAAAACCAATTCCCTTATATCCCAAACTAATCTTCATATTCCTCGCTCTTTAATGAAATGTGTTTTGACAAAATTACCTCTATTGCTTTTCTTCTTGTTCTAATTTCTAATTTTATTTAGTTAAAATTGAAACAGAAAAAAAAAAAACAGAAACGAGAAAAAAGGAGCTCGAGAGAGCTCATTTTTTTTGCCGTGGAGCTCTCGATTGTTGACGTTTCCTCTCCTCCTTCGAGCTGCATGGAGCTACAAAATTCCAAATCTGTTCTTAAACCAACCTAAGCAATCTATCGAGCTTCAAATTTGGTTTTAGATTTACAAATTGAGGGATTCAATCCGATTTTATTAGCAAACTATTTTGGTATGCACATTGAATGTTTTACCATGGTTTCTGGGTTAACTAGGAGGACTTTAAATGGGTAACAATTAATTTCAGACGTTGTTTCGTAGTGAATTGTAGCTTAGAACTTGAAACCATCCAATTTGAGTTCTTGCGATAGGAGAACTTGGTAAAGCTAGTATTACTGATAACTTAAGTATAACTAGTAAAACAAGTATTACTGATAAATGTAGTATAACTAGTAAAACTGGTATTATTGATTGAGTTTTTTTTTTTTTTTTGTTGTTGTTTTGGCAGGATACTATGAGAAACAACGTTAGCATACATTTTAAATGCCAAAGTTGCATGTATTGTGTAATGTTAAAGACAACAATGGAGAAGATAACTTTGTCGATGATATATACAAGAAGCTTGCGTTAGATGAAAGTAACGTTAAATTACAATGCAAGTTGTGGTAGATAGAGCCGCATTTGTTAACAATTATGGTTTTGCTATTAAAAAAATACACCAAGATGCGCATACATGTTCTCGGGCTAGTCAAAGTAGAAGCAACAATAACATGAAGAGGCAAGGCACTCCATAATTAGTTGCAGCTCTTTTTACCTTTAGTTTTGTAATACTATATATTGGTTAGGACAACTACGTAAAACTGATTTTTCGTTATGTAATACTATATATTGGTTCTGTGACTATTGGGTACTACTGGTTTAACTGAGGAAAGTTGAAAATAATAATTATGCTTTTTTTTTTAGCTAAACCTAAACCAAAAGTACTCAACAGACCCTATTAGCTTTGTAAACGTCAGAAATAAATGTTACAATGTGTATTAAGAAAGAAACTATGAAACTATATCTTATTAATTTGTTATGAAACAATCTCTCGAATTTATACTTTTAAAGTCACTTTGTAAATAATAACTAACTTAGGATTAAAAAGTTATAGAAGTAAAGGTTTTGTACATATTAATGCATAAAACACTTAGAAATATATGTTAATCGACTTAAATCAAATGTAAAACTAAAAAAACATATTTTAGGGTACATAATACTAATTAAAATGAAAAACAGCCATATTAGAACTATTTGGAACTTTGGTAACACTAATCTCTTATGTATAACTGTCCACAATGCCAAACTCTTCATCTACTGAAGTCCCAGCCTTTCAGAAATATGGTTAAAGTTATCCTAAACAGAAAAAATGTTAGCCAAACCACCTAAGATACGAAATACTCTATTGGACATAAATTAAGCAGCAAGATGTTAATATAAAATTATATAAATATAAATAACAGAGGGATACATAGAAATGCCAAGAGAAAAACAGAACCTTTGGCTTGGCTCTGTTTCTGGTGTTTGAGAGACACTTTGGCTAAAGAAGTAAGGAAACCGGTGACCGAAAAACGATCATAAGGGGGCAAGTACGTCTCGAGGCCAAGACTCTGGCAGATAATGAGAAGGCCTATAAGTGTTTTTATAAAAGTTAATTTGGATACACGAGGACAAAAAGAAACTATATTTAAAAGAAACAAAAGTAAAAAAATATTGGTTTCCGTCAAAGAAAAAAGATAAACAACTAAAGATTTGTTTCTTATTGTATCTTAGGGAAAAAAACAAGATGTTTAGCCCCACCATAGTCTGACTTTCTGCTTGAAAAATATATTTAGAAGAGATGTTCTATTATTCTATAGTTGCTTGCTACTTCTTTAAAAAGTCTTGGAAGAAGCTGGGAACATGGTTCATACGTAAACGATCATTTTTTCTAAATTCCCGCTCTGATTGTCTCTAAAGGTTGGATAGAGATTTTCGTTTTCTTTCTCACAATATTCTCTCAAGAGTCACATAGTCACTGCATAGTAGCATATTATAAATTAACCTCCTTTTGGTTTCTAATTAAATTCTAGTTTACATGGAATTGATGTAGCTTAGGTAGAGAGACGACTGGCTGGATTTCCATTCCTTGAACGGCAATTACAGATTCAACAGAGGAAGAAACTACATACATACATGAACATAGAAGGTACTTTGTGAGGTGGTTTCTTTGAATCTCGGTGAACTAATTTTTTTATTTATTTATGACATTTCGCAAAAAAAAAAAACATATTTAAGTCACAGTTTTTTCCAAATATATTATTCATCAAAAGAATGCAAATCAATTATACGAAACTAAAAATTATACGCAATAAAATCCTTACCCTTATTTTCTAAAGTTTTATAAAGTTATATGCAATAGTTTTGTAAAATTTTAAATGTGGTAAATTTTACAAACTTGACTATGATATATTATTTATCATAATTTGATATGATATATTATTTATCATAACTACGATAATTTTACAAACTTGACGGTAATGACAATGTGTTATATTGCGTAGTACTTTTGACTTCGCGGGATCGACCTGCATATTTTGTAGACATAGGGTAAAGTTGCAAAAAACAACGACTTTGAGGGTTTTTGTTTTGCTAAAGTTTTATTATTATTATTATTATTATTACTAGGACTCAAACCATTGCGGGGATAATATTCTAAATTTTTTATATAATTATTTTCCTTAAAACAAATCAAACTCAAAATGATGCATATTATAGAATTTTAGTAATTATTTCAGATATATATATATATATATATATATATATATATATATATATATATATAAAGACATAAACGTTAAGAGAAGCAAACCTTTTTGTAATAAAACATAACTATTAGAAATATAAGTTGTGATATCAAAAACACGAATACAATATCCATGGTGAAAAGACACAAATTTAAATGAATGGATGCAATTTTCTTTATAAAAAAAACAGTAAGACGTAAGCTTGGAGTGGACTGAACCTTTTTTAAAAAAAATTATTATAAAATATATAGTTTACGAAGGATTACGATAAAAAGAATACAACGGTAGAATATTTTTATTACGATTACCCTTCAATCTTGGGCCATCAATAATCCCTTTTAAAAAAGAAATTGCCATTTTTAAATGAGTGTAGAGGTTGAATATTTGGTAAACAAAATATATAGAGTTTAAGAGATATGAACATTTAAATTGACACAACTGTAAAACATATTTTTACAATTAATAAATTAAAATATGAAAAGATGAGTTACGATGAAAAAATACAATCATAAAAAGAATTTATTCAAATTAAATATAAAATAAAAATATTTTACGAACGGTTTTGAAGAAAAGACGAAAATAGGTGAAAAGACACAATTTTAAATGACTCGATGCAACTTTGTAAAAATAAAAATTGTACAAAAAATTACAATAAAAAGACACAACCATAAATAATGAGGGTGAGAGAACTCTAAGGTTAAGTGTACTTGAGCTCGAGCAATTTCAAGATGGGTGATCTTCCGGGAAGTGATTGTCGGAACTGTGAGAGTGAGGTCAATACACAGGAAAATATCATGTGGTGATTTGTTGGGTCGGTAAACAAGTCTTTAAAGCCTTCCGGACGTAGATGACCGACTGCCGGACAGAAGTAGGGCCCACGAGCATGAGAGAGGACGTGAGTGTTCACTTGTAGGGGCGGTCGGATCATTACAAGTATTGAAAATAAATAAAAATATTTTACGATCCGTTACAATGTAAAGACAACCGTAGGAGATATTTATTTAGATTGTTATTAGTGTATAAAATATTTAACGAAGAGTTACGATGAAAAGACGCAAACATATAAAACATTTTTCAGAAAAAAAAAAGAAAAAAATATATATTATGATGAAAAGACGCAAACAGGTGAAAATATAGTTATAATCAAGAGACGCGACTCTAGATATCAAATATACCAATGGTTGCAACTGTTCCTCAAATAAAATAAATGATACAACGGTTCATATAAAAAACCGAAAATTGCAATAGTTCCTCAAATAAATCAAATGTTGTAATGGTTCAAGCAAACAATTGCAACAATTTATTTAAATATATTTTAGTAATTCAAAATTGAACTTTTTATGAGAAATTATATCGAGACACGCGACCGTATATATCAAATATGCCAAAAGTTGTAGGTTTGTCGATTAAACTTAAGGTTATAGCGGTTCATAAAATAAACTAAAAGTTACAAAGATTAGTTAAATAAATTAAATGTTGCAACAGTTCAATTGAAGGGTTTGCAAAAATTTATTTAAATAAATTAAAAATATATTTATTTAAATATATTTTATCAAATATACCATATGTTGCATCGATTTGTCAAATAAATTAAGAATTACATTAGTTCATAAAAAAAAAAAAACAGAAAGTTACAATAGTTCGTAAGTAAATCAAATGTTGCAATATTTCAACTAAGCGGTTACAAATATTTATTTAATATTATAATAACTAAAAATAATATAAAATATATTTTGAAGAATTACGATCAAAAGTCGCGACCGTTGAAGTGACTGTCAAAGGCATATGTTCAGATTGTTATTATTATTAGATTATTGATTATCTCTTTGATACAGGTTTGAGACCATAAACATGCAGAGATCTTCAACCTTTCAATATGTAAAGGGAAAGGGGAATTTCAAGAATTTGAGAGTGCGCTTAAAGAAGGAGTATAGAAACATGAAAACCTTTGAAAACTGGAGGAAGACAATTATGTTACTTTGCTTTGCTGCTTTCGCTATTGATCCTTTGTTTCTCTTTATCCCTGTGATTGATTCTCATAGATTCTGCTTTACTTATGACAAGAAGCTAGGGCTAGCAGCTTGTGTCATTCGTACTTTTATGGACTCATTCTATGTAATTCACATCATTTTCCGTTCAATAACCGAGCTCATTGCTCCTCGTTCACAAGTATCTTTAAGAGGCGAGATAATTATGCATTCCAAGGCTACAAGGAAAAAGCGCCTCATCTTTCGCTTCATGGTTGACATTGCTTCAATTCTCCCCATTCCTCATGTGTGTTCATTAGCTTACTTTATGACATCTACTTTTTGATTATGCCATATTAGGAATGTGGCCTAACTTAACCCAAAAGCTAGCTCAAGAGTTAATGGTTTTCCACATCCTATATATATTACCCAAAGATCTTAATCCTAAGCAATGTGGGACATTCTAATAGGCCTCCTCGAGATGTGGGTGGGAAACAGTCCAAAAGCCCAACATCTCGGAAATACAACAAGACATGCCACTTATATGGGCCACATAGGTGGGAAACCATTTGTGTGGGAATTTGCTTGTTGGGCCAACCTTGGGCTCTGATACCATATTAGGAATGTGGCCTAACTTAACCCAAAAGCTAGCTCAAGAGTTAAGGGTTGCCACATCCTATATATATTACCCAAAGATCTTAATCCCAAGCAATGTGGGACATTCTAATAGCCTCCTTTAAATTATGACGTGCAACGCAAAATTTTATAGGTGGTGGTTCTCACTTTCTTTATACGGAAGCAAAAGTCTGCCTTGCTGGTGTCAAAGGACATATTAAAAAAGGTTATAATATGTCAATATATACCAAGAATCCTCTGTATCTATCTGCTTTTCCAAGAAGTGACAAAGGCCTCTGGTACGGTAGTAGAAACAAAGTGGATTGGAGCTGCTTTAAACCTTTTCCTCTACATGCTTCCGAGTTATGTAAGTCTTTGTTCTGCTCCCACATCCCCACTGCTATTTTTTTTTGTTATAAAACAACAAGAATTGTTAGATATGTTATGATGGGCAGGTGTTTGGGGGTTTCTGGTACTTCAATGCAATACAAAGGGAGAACTTATGCTGGCATGATGTGTGTGCTAGAACACCTGGATGCAATGTCATGAATCTATATTGTGCACGAGGTAGCGAAGACAACAATCGTTTTCTGAACAATTCATGCCCATTAATTGACCCTGGCCAAATCACAAACTCCACAGTCTTCAATTTTGGTATGTATATTGATGCATTGAAGTCAGGGGTGGTAGAGTCCAGGTATTTTCCAAGGAAGTTCTTCTACTGCTTTTGGTGGGGTCTTCGAAATCTTAGGTTTGTACATCTAAACTCTATGCCGTGAGTTCTGATCCTTGAGAAAAAAACCCATCAATCAGGTTGTGAGAAGATCATAGCTCAACTTGTTCTTTAATGATTATAGTGCTTTGGGTCAAAACCTGGAGACAAGCAACTCTGTAGAGGAGATCGTGTTTGTCATAATCATCTGTATACTTGGTTTACTCTTGTTTGCTTTACTCATTGGAAACGTTCAGGTAATGCTCATACCTCATAAACTAGATTTTGATCTCGTAAAACTGAATCTTAGGAGAATTCCTTTGGTGGTCACAGAAGTACTTGCAATCGACTACGATCAAAGTAGATGAAATGGAGGAGAGAAAAAGAGACATAGAAAAGTGGATGTCTTATCGGAACCTACCCGACGATCTCAAGCAACGCATTAGGAAATACGGGGAATACACATGGAAACAAACTAGAGGCATCAAAGAGGAAGCTCTTCTTCGTAGCCTTCCTATAGACCTCAGACTCGAAACCAAACGACATCTTTACCTGAATCTATTAAAGGGTGTAAGTTATCTTTTGTGATTGATCCTTGCATCTTTTTGCACTGAGATATAGTTTCTAACTTATATCTTAATCACTTCTCAGGTTCCTTTGTTTGAGGGCATAGATGATGGTTGGTTACTATCAGCAATGTGCAACCGGGTGAAGTATGTGTTCTACTCGGCAGATAGCTACATAGTAAAAGAGGGTGACCCAATGGAGGAAATGCTGATTATAACAAAAGGAAAACTAAAAAGTACAACTAGGTCTCATGAAATAGGTGAAGAACTAAAAGCAGGTGACATATGTGGAGAACTTCTCTTTAATAGTTCTTCCCTTCCCACCTCAACCAGAACTATAATAACTCTTACCGAAGTTGAAGGTTTCACTCTCTCGCCTGATGATGTCAAGTTTGTAGCTTCTCATTTTAATCACCTTCAAAGCGTGATACACAAACAAATGAGCAGGCAAGGCTTAGAAACCGAAGTAGGATTTGAAGTTTTTTTTTACCACGCCTTAAACTAAACATATGACCTCAAATATATATATTTTTCAGATCATCAGCAGCATGCGTCATACAGGCAACATGGAAGGAATATGTGAGAAGGAAGCTTTCTAACAACTTACGCGCCGAAAGAGAGAATCAGCAAATTACACAAGACACTGATCAACATGACTAAGGAGGATGAGCTTGCATTAGAGGAGTATGTTAAAAAACGAAGCTCAATCTCTTTATTTCTCAACCACAAAGTATATATATATATATATATATATATATATATAGAGAGAGAGAGAGAGAGAGAGAGAGAGAGAGAGAGAGTTTAACACCATTTCTATTGGAATAAGATCCCTAAACAATAAGAGTGAGTATTTATCCGTGTTCAAAAAATCGCTAGACGCTAGTCGGGCGGTGAGGGTGGGCCTAGCGCCTAGAAAGAAAATCGGAGATTAAACGGGGATTAATCGGGGATTAGTTTTAGGGCTATTTAATGTGTTAAAAACATATTAATCCATTATAATTAAGAAATTTAAATAATATTGTTTTTAAAATTGCATTGAACACATGAAAACAAGATTTTAAGCTCAAATTTATGATTTTTTATACAAATTACGAATATAAGTAAGACGTTTTGATTTTTAGATTAAAAAAAAAAAAATGGGCTAGGCGGAAAAAAAATCGGACGAACGATTTTTCTTACCGATTTGGAAAAAATCGCCGCGGTTGCCCTCCGATCAGCGCCTAGGCGGCCGATTTTTAGAACAGGGGTATTTATAATAAAAGCTGTAAAGAGAGATTGCTACAAATTCAAATTTTGAAAATATTATCTATAAATTAAGAGAAATTGTTAGAACTACCTTTTCTTTGTTATATACCTTTTCAAAAATACCTTATTTTCTAGTCATTTTTAATCATGTCCTCTTTCAATTTTAATGGCCATTTTACCCCTATTTGAAAAATAATTAAGACAACAAAATGACAAAAAAGAATTTTTCCGATAAAATTTTTTCGTTTTAATACCCCGACCGCCATCTCTCTTAATGGTCCCCACGTCCTCTCTCGGCCCATGGGCCCACCATTTTTCGACGGCCGGTCCGCTACGTCTGGGATGCTTTAAAGACATGTTTACCGACCCTATAGATCACCACATGATCTTTTCCTCTGTTTCCTTAACTGTGAAGTTCTCTCTGGACTGTTGACCGAAAATTTAAGTGCACTTTGGTGACATTGGTGGCTAAATCAACTCTTTTAAACCTCACTGCATGCACCACTATATTCCTGAAATCAGGGGTGTTACAATTCACCTTCACCAACAGATCGCAACGTCCTCGTTGCGCAAAGATCGTCACCCCTGATGGTGTGAGCCCTCTTGACTCCACACTCGTCTAGGTTCGTCTCTGATACCACTTGTAACTCCCTGACCGCCATCTCTCTTAATGGGTCCCACGTCTTCTCTCGGTCCGTGGGCCGATCATTTTCTGATGGCCGGTCCGCTACATCTGGGAGGCTTTAAAGACTTGTTTACCGACCCTACAATCAACATGATTTTTCTCTGTGTTTTGTCCTCACTATAGTTCTGACAATCACTTTCCGGAAGGTTACCCATCTTGAAATTGCTTCAACTCAAACACCCTTAACTGTGGAGTTCTCTTAGGAGAGTTGAGCGAAAAGATAAGTCCATTTTGGTGACATAGATGGCCAAATCAATTCTTTTAAATCTCTTCGCATGCACCACCATATTCCTGAAATCAGGGGTGTTACACCTACCAAAAAAGTTTCTGACAAAATTTCCAGCCAAAAAAATTCCGACAAAAAATTTCCCGCTAAAATATATTTTGTTTAAAAAAGATATGGATTTACAAGGGTTTGAAAAGGATTTATAAGAGTATACAAGGGTTTAAAAGGAATTACAAGGGTTTCAAAAGATTTAAAAGGGTTCTTAAAGGATTTACAAGTGTTTTGAAAGGGTTTAAAAAGGTTTATAAGTGTTTTTAAGGATTTAAAAGAATTTACAAGGTTGTTAAAAGGATTTTGTAAGGGGTTTTAAAAGTTTTAAAGGATTTACAAGGGTTTTAAAAGATTTACAAGGGTTTTGAAAGGTTTTTAACAGGATTTACAAGGGTTTTAAAAGATTTACAAGAATTTTCAAAGGGTTTTAAAAAGATTTACAAATGTTTTGAAAGGGTTTTAAAAAGATTTATAATGGTTTTAAAAGGATTTTAAATGGTTTTTAAAAAGAGCTTATAAGTGCTAAAAAGGATTTTTAAAGAGTTTCAAAGGTTTAAAAGGGTTTTAAAAGATTTTACAAAAGGTTTTTATAGGATTTACAATGGTTTTAAAAGGATTTTAAAAAGATTTAGAAAATTCTTAAAAGATTTACAAGGGTTATAAAAAGTTTTAGAAGGGTTTTATAAATTTTCGTTGGAAACTTTTTTTGGCGGAAAGTTTTGTCAGAATTTTATTTGGCGGGAAAAATAAATTTGGCGCCAAAAATTATTTCGCCGGGAAAATTTGAATTTCTCATTACATTCTCTTAATAAAGATGGGTAATTTAGTCATTTAACACATAAAAGAGTATTTTTAAAAATTGACAATAAGAAGGGACAGGGGCGGATTTAGAACTCTATTTAGTATGGGGCATTGTTATAACTAAAAATTAAATTATAGGGCTTTTAAATAAACTTTGCACTAGTTATTCAAGAAAAATAAAAATTTAGGGTGGGCACATGCCACACCTAGTCCCTTCTTGCATCCGCCACTGAGAAGGGATATTGAAAAATGACATAGGAAAAATGGTATTTTTTGCAAATATCCTATAAATTAATACTTGATAAATTAATAAACACAATAAAATAAGAGAAATTGTTAAAAATGCCCCTTTTTCAATACCCCTTTTCAAAAATGCCCCTTTTGAGAGTCCATTTTTAAGTTTGCCCTCTTTTAATTTTTAATGACCATTTTACCCTTATTTGAAACAAAATTAGGTCCACAAAATACAAAATATTTTTTGGCGGGAAAAGTGATCCAGCAATTTTCCCGCCAAAACACTTGTAAAAACCTTTAAAATACCTTGTAAAATTTTCCCGTAAAAACTTTTCCCGCCAAAAATTTTTTTTGCGGGAAAAGTGATTCCGCAATGTTTTTAGCGAAATTTTTTTGGCGGAAAAATTTTTGGATAGAAAAATTTACAAGGTATTTTAAAGGTTTTACAGAGTATTTACAAGTGTTTTGTAAGGTTTTACAATGTATTTTAAAAGGTTTTACAAGGTACTTATAAGGTTTTATAAGGTATTTATAACTTGTAAAACCTTATAAAAAACTTGTAAAACCTTATAACTTGTAAAACCTTATAAAATAGCTTGTAAAATCTTATAATATCTTATAAATACCTTATAAATACGTTGTAAAACCTTATAAATACCCTGTAAAAAACCTTTAAAATACCTTGTAAATTTTTCCCGCCAAAAATTTAACGCCAAAAAATTGCGGAATCACTTTTCCCGCAAAAACAATTTTTTGGCGGGAAAAAAATTTACGGGAAAATTTTACAAGGTATTTTAAAGGTTTTACAAGTTTTTACAAGTGTTTTGGCGGGAAAAATTGCAGGATCACTTTTCCCGCCAAAAAAATATTTTGTATTTTGTGGACCTAATTTTTTTATATTTCCTTATATATTTGTGATATATTTTATTAAAAGAAGGGTAATTTAGTCATTTTGTACATAAAAAGGGGTATTTTTAAAAATGGACAGCCAAATGAGGCATTTTTGAAAAGGGGTATTGAAAAAGGGGCATTTTTGTGAGTCTCCCATAAAATAAAGAAATTCTACGGCCCCAAGTCGGGACGAGGTAAAAACAAACAAAATTCGATAAGAAAATAATTTTATTATAATCCGTATGTAATATATGGTCCTATTAATATCATAAGTTTATAATCAGTAAAAATTTCATATATATATATATATATATATATCTATATACTATTAAAAGAGAAGTACAAAAGTACTTGGGTCGGGTTAAAATTGAAAAACTTAAAAAACTAACCCGCAAATTCATCAATCGGATCTTTGAGTATTTATGCCAAAAAAAAATTCCGAAAATAAAGTGAGAAACAATCATAAAACGGATGATGTGGGGTGTGGATGTCGGATTCACACACTCAAGTATTTTGTTAAGTGGGAAAGATTATTTTTGAGGGACAAAAATGAATATGTAAAAACTTATAGATTGATACGAAAATTGCTATATTATTTCTCCTTTTAGAGGAAGATCCCCTTCACATGGCCATTGACCTCTATATTTATACATGGACAAACGACATTAAAATGAGTAATTAAATACAATTATTTCTTCTTAAATGTGTCCGTTTTGATTCTTTGACTTTAATGCTCAACGTTTGAATTTGAGTTGACTCTGATCTTCATGGGCCTCGCCTCTTTTGGCCCAAGCGTCCCTGAACCGACTTACCCGTGTCTTCTACACCGAACTTGTGTCACAGTGCAGTCACCTCGGATTCTCGAAATGGTGACAACCACTTCGACCGTCCCTTCGGCTCACGGGTCCAATGGGCTTCATCCTTTATGGGCCATTATCTTGATTACGTGGCAATCTTTGGTTGGTCTCGTACTTCTGGTGCGGGATCCGACACCAACAATTAGCCCCCCAAGTTCTTCGAAGTGCTATTCCAATTCGGAGGACTTTAAATGCTCAAGTGGCCAGAGATTGCGCTCGAGAATCTTTCTGATTTCCCGCCGAAAATCTCATCACTCCTTTAATTTTGGCACTATCCATTTTTAACCGAGTGACATCTGTCATCATTATGACCGTATATTGATTAATTACTATTAAAACGGGAAAAACCTTCCCACTTCCCACACGACTTCCGAGGCGGTTTCATCATTAGCTTGAGGTAACTTCTTTTCACCATTACTCTCTTCTTTTTACTTTTGTACTTTAATCAAAAACCTCTCTCTTCGTTCCTTCACCAAAACCCTTCTTCGCCGGATCTTGAATTTTTCTTTCTTCCCAATGACTTCCGATTCCGATAGACCCGAGTCTCCGTCTTTCGACGAGAGGCGTTCTAGCAATGACGAATGCACCCGCTCTGATGATATTGCCGGTCCGCACTATAGGTCCACTTGTACTCATCAATCCCTCGAGCGGTTGAAAGAGCTTTGCCGGA